TTGACTTCCTGTCAGGTGTCGGTCCGGTCTGTCTCTTGACTTCCTGTCAGGTGTCGGTTCGGTCTGTTTTGTGATTTATTTGTTCAAACTGGAGCTGTTTTAATAAAAATTATTATAAAACAGATAAAAATAACAAATTTGTTGTTTTTGAACAAATGTAATTCATTTCTGAAGAGGAAATATTTAGTGACTAAAGTTACTTATTTAACAACAAAAATGTCTTAAAGTTATAATTATTTTTTTTAACCTTTATTGTACCAGGAAATCAATCCATTGAAATTATTTGTCTCTTATGCAGCTCGTCCTGGGCGAGGTGCCAACAAACATAACGGTTGCATTAAATTGTTTACAACAAAACATCTGATAATAAGACATCAAATACAATGCAAGTTTAAAAACAAATCACAATTTAAGATACTTGAACATTACAGGTGCACGATGTGATGAAAACATCACTACATTCTTAAAGTCTGACACCTTTTTGTCCCTCCTCAGCCACCATCAACCTGCAGCACATTGGAGAGCAGGCGGAGGCCATGTTTGGAGTCGGGTAGGCACACAGCTCTGCATTTACCTGCTCATACCTGGGGCTCCTTACCTTAATTAGGTGTGTGTGTGTGTGTGTGTGTGTGCGCGCGCGTGTGTACGCAGGAAGGGGAACAGCATCCTGGAGGTGGACGATGAAGGGGGTCGAATGTTCCTGCGGGTTCTGATCCACCTGACGATGCATGACTACGCCCCCCTGGTGTCCGGAGCGCTGCAGCTGCTCTTCAGACACTTCAGCCAGAGACAGGAAGTGCTGCACACCTTCAAACAGGTGCGTCCCACACAGGAAACAGACCAGCAACTCAAATACAGCCTGAGCACAAACAGGTCTGACCCAAAGTCAGGAAGTGACTTCCTCTGGATCATCCATTTAATAACAAATATTATTTATTAAAAACTAGTGTTGGCCCGATACGATATACTGATACTGTATACGATATACTGTATACTGTATACGATATACTGTATACAATATACTGATACTGTATACGATATACTGTATACGATATACTGTATACAATATACTGATACTGTATACGATATACTGTATACGATATACTGTATACGATATACTGATACTGTATACGATATACTGTATACGATATACTGTATACAATATACTGTATATGATATACCGATACTGTATCGGTATCAGGCCTTATACCAGCATTTTTACAAGTACTTGTCAAAACTGCCCCGATACCTGGGACCAATACCACTTATATACTGGGTGACCTGGGACCAGTACCACTTCTATGCTGGCTGACCTGGGACCAGTACCACTTCTATACTGGGTGACCTGGGACCAATACCACTTCTATACTGGGTGACCTGGGACCAGTACCACTTCTATACTGGGTGACCTGGGACCAGTACCACTTCTATACTGGGTGACGTGGGACCAGTACCACTTCTGTACTGGGTGGTGCCATTTCAGCTTCCACTGCACAAGTGACCGAAGGTTCAAATGTCTGCAGCTTGGAGATGTTTTCAGATAAACACAGATGACATTAAAAAGTTTGTGCTGTGCTCAAAGTGTCCAGAGGAGCGAACAGCAGCAGCTTCAACACAACTCATTTGATTAAACACCTGAAGATGAAACAGGAGGCGGAGCTCAAAGAGTTAGCAGCTGCTAGCAGCTCATCTCCACCAACGCTGCAGCAACTTCTCCAGAAGCATGAAGAAGTGGCTCCAGTCCGGTGCAGTGAAGATAACTGAGGCTCTTACACAATCATGGCTCTGGACGACCAGCTGTTTTCAGCGGTGGATGATTCTTCAATTTGTCGTTTTCTCAACGTATTTGAGCCTCGGTGCAACATCCCAGCCGCCACCACACTGTTGAAAAAACTTTTCAGAAGATGTAAAAAATCTCCTGAACAGCCAGCAGGACGTGTCTGACTCTGGATGTTTGGACGAGCCGTGTAACTTCAATATCATCAGTTTAACTGCGCAGCTGAAGGTTGGGCTCCAGAGCTCCGTGGTGCACGTAGAGCAGCTCCGGGTTCACACACGAGCAGCTCCAGCAGGTGCGTTTGATGAAGTTCTTCAGACGTGGAATATTCCCAGAAGTTCTGTTCACATCGTCTCAGAGACCAAGTTCAAAACTTGGATAAAGGTGCTGAGTGATACTGGCCTCTCCAGCTGGCTGTTAACAAGGGTCTGTTAACGTGAGGCTGTTAACGAGGGGCTGTTAACGAGGGGCTGTTAACGAGGGGCTGTTAACGAGGGTCTGTTAACGTGAGGCTGTTAATGAGGGTCTGTTAACGAGGGTCTGTTAACGAGGGGCTGTTAACGTGAGGCTTTTAACGAGAGGCTGTTAACGTGAGGCTGTTAACGAGGGGCTGTTAACGTGGGGCTGTTAACGTGGGGCTGTTAACGTGAGGCTGTTAACGAGGGGCTGTTAACGTGGGGCTGTTAACGTGAGGCTGTTAACGAGGGGCTGTTAACGTGGGGCTGTTAACGGGGGCTGTTAACAAGGGGCTGTTAACGAGGGGCTGTTAACGTGAGGCTGTTAACGTGAGGCTGTTAACGAGGGGCTTTTAGTTCCGAGCAGCTGAAGTGGTTTCTGTCAGACGTAAAATGGACATTTGAAAAACTCCACCTTAGCTTACTCCTGGACTGTTGGGCTCTAAGTAAGGAGACACCTTGTTCTAAATAAAAGTGTTTTAAGTCGTGTAAGTTTATGTTCTGACTCAGGAAGTACTCTGTATCGGTACCCGGTATCGGCGAGTACACAAACCGAAGTACTCGTACTTGGTTTGATGAAAACTGGTATCAGATCACCTGTATTAAAAACCTGTAATTAGTTTCACGTTCACGTCAGTCCTCGTCTGGTCCTGTGTCCGCAGGTCCAGCTGCTGATCACGGGTCAGGACGTGGACAACTACAAGCTGATCAAGGCGGACCTGGACCGGCTCCGGACCCTGGTGGAGAAGTCTGAACTGTGGGTGGAGAAGAAGAACTCAGGTGGAGGAGATGGAAAGAAGGACAAGAAGGAGGTAAGGAGCAACGTTACGGTTAATGCTTTTATTTTGAAAATTCACAGGAAGTTAGCAAACCTCTGAACATGATTTATTTGGTTGACTCAGATAAACAAACAAAACAAGAATAAAAAAGTTCAGAATAGAGTTTTTTCTCAAATGTTGCAGAAAAAACTTCTTGTCGTAATTTTAAACACACACACAGCTTCACTTAGCTCTGTAATGCTAACCTAAGAGCCAAAGGTAGCAGAATGTCAAAAAGCTAAAGCTAAAAGTAGCTGATCGTTAGGAGCTGAAAGAAGCTGAACGTTAGCTAAAGGTAGCAGAAGAAGTTTTGTAGAACTCGATGTATTTCTGTGCTTAGATATTGGTAAATAAAAGTAAATTTTTGAAAAACCTTAAAGTAACAAAAGCTAAAAGTCTTAGCATCCATGTAGTGAATGAGCTGAACTTTCTGATCTGTGATCGGCACAAAGTTCACAGAACTACTTAGATTGTAAAAAAAACGCACAGACTTTAAAACGGAAAATGACAGGACCAACGCTGATTCAGACAAACCGGAGACGTAAAGCATCGAATCATCGGCGTACAGCTTTACACAGCCGAAAACAAACTGTAGCCACTAAAGCTGCTGAAAGCAAATTCATGAGCAAATGTATTTCTTGAACTTTCTTTCTGCTTCCTGAACTCCTTTAACGTTGGTGTCGGGGGTTCTGGTGTCTCGGCTGGGGGATCCGCCTTTGGTGTTGTTGCTATTTCTTTATTTCCTGTTTTTATGTGAAGTTAAAGCACAACGTGGATATTTTAGCTGTTTTGTGTTAGAACATGGCCTCAGCCTCTGATTGCAGCAGACCTGTTCTCTGATCCAGAAAAGAACCAATTAAACTTTTTTAAAAATTTAAACAAAAAATAATGCGCACGTTCCAAACCATCCATCTGTTAGTTCTGTACTATTTTACAACTAGTCGTTCTTTTTCAAGTTATTAGAAATATTGACTCATCATGTGCAGAATGAGACGTGCACACGTTGTCTCACCGTCTGCGTCCTGCAGGGGGGGGCAGAGAGTACGTCGCCAAAGGAGAAGCTGGAAAAAGGTAACGAGAGCTACCAGAACGTCAAGGAGGTGAGAGCTCTTCTCCGTCTGTCACTTTCATCGGTTTTGTCTTTTTATGTTGCCATGTTTCTGCAAAACAATTAACCTGTCAATCAGTCTGTGTGGGCGGGGCTGTGATGTCACTTCCTGTTGATGGCTTTCACTGCTCAGATGATTTCTTATGATTACTTCTTTCATTTCCAGCATCCGTGTAAAAAAAAAAAAAACTAAAATTTTTGCTGTGTTGACCCAAAAATAATGTACTTGTTTTGTTTGAACTCAATAAAATTTGCACAAACTTTTTTTTATTCAAATCCTTTTAGTAACATGTTTTTCTGAATATGTTCAGAAGAACAGGATCTGTTGTCAACGGATCAAAGAAACTTCATTCTGTAAAGAAAATCATCACTCTGTTACAGTTCTCTCAATTTAGAATGTTAGTTTTGAACATCACGCCACAAAATTAAAGAGATGTTTGTCTAATATTTTGCATCAACCTTGGTCTTCATAATTATTCAGTTTTTGTATTTTTTATTTATTTGTTAAACACTATTTGTTAAAATGGTGTGATTAATAAAAAAAAAAGGTTTTCAACAGTTATTATAGATTTATTTCAATAAATCAACACATTTGGTTTTTACAAATAAAACAAGTTTAGGTTCAAATAAATGGTATTTTAACATTTTATGAGCACACATTTTATCCTGCATACTGTGTAAAATCAAAATGTTGAGGGCCAAGCACAGAGCCTTGAGGAACACTGAAACTAATGCTCAAGGAAATCTCTAATAAAAGTAAAAGGTGTATGTGAATACACCTGTTACTTTTATTTCATTACTTACTGATTCCCCTGATCTCTGTATGAAATGTAGAAATTATCTAACAAATATATATTTAACATAATTTATTTTTAACATTTGTGGTTCAAATTTACATTTTGTTGCCACATTTACAGTTTTGGTGATAAAATAGAGCTGTAATTGTTGTTCTTTTGATAACATGAAGACATAAAAAAGATGAATAACAATAAAACATGTTGGTCACTGAGCGGAACAAGTTTTTGTTTCAAACATTTTCTCTGCTGTTTAAATCTTCAAGCCCCGACCAACTTCTCATCATTTCAGTGTAATCCATTTATTGATTCTGTAACAGATATTTACGGTCAGATCCCTCAAAATCAGTATGTTAGTCCAAGTCATGCAATTCAAGGCTCTTTGACAAGATTCAAGTGAAGACCCCCCCACGTTCATTCAACCTTTATTTATGCAGGTTAATCCCATTGAGCCTCCAGGACTCATTTACAGCAGACAACTATATAAAATCTATAAAATGAAAGTAATAAATAAAAACAAGCTACATTATGAAACGGTGTAAAACACTGAAACCAGGAACATGTAACCAGGTTTAACCAGTTCATCAGCAGCATTAAAACCAAAACATTTAATGTAACTGCAGCAACACAGAAGCTTTCATCCAGCGAGCTGCAGGAAAGTTCAGGACTGAGAAACGTTTAGCGAGTTTCATTCTTGACCAGCTTGTTCTCGTCTGTAGATCCTGGAGCGGCTGAATAAAATGTGCAGCAGTGGAGCTTACAGGAAGCAGCAGAGGCTGCTGAAGAACATGGGGGCTCATAAAGTCATGCTGGACCTGCTTCAAGTCTCCTACGACAAGGTGAGACCGTCAAAATAAAAGCACGTTGACTGCACATTTTTATTTGAATCAGAGCTGGGCAAAAGATCAAACAGGAAGTGTGATATTTTGGAGCTTTATCAGTACACACAACAACAGAGGTCCCTCGCTACTTCACAGTTCGTTTATCGTGCATTCGCTCACTGCGGTTTTTCAAAATAAGAGTGGACATGACACACAACTGATGGATGAGTCGCACGATCAGCATGCAATTTTTATTTAAAATAAATTATTTTATTAGCACCTGCTGCAGCTTTGTGCAGCCCTTCCTGCTGCAGTTAAACAGCTGATCGGCTGTGCAGCACGGAGAAGTGGGCGTGGCCAAGGGTGCCTGCAGGTGTCAAAGAGCAGAGGAGGCGGGGAGCTGCATGACGTGCTGTGCTCTTAGAGCGTTTAGGGTTTAGAAACATTGTTTTTTGCAAGAGTGTGGGGAGGGTTTAAAACGCCATATATATATATATATATACTACTTAATACTTGTACTATTATTCCTACGTCGCGGTTTTTCACTTGTTGCAGGACTTGAGGGTACGGATCCCCGTGATAAACGAGGGAGTGGTTTGTGTTTGAGCGGCCTCGTACAGACATTTACACAACAATCACGATGACGTCATCTTTGAATTCACGAGGGAAAACTCTTAAATCCACTCGATACGTCGAGCAGCGTAATTTAAACATTTCACACTTCAAAGACAGAAACGGTTCAAACCAACAGAACCTGTTTGTATCTCATGGCTGGATCATCTTCACGTGAATCTTGGTTTAATCGTCTTTATGGAACAAAAACAGTCCAACCCAAAAAGATTCAGTTTCAGAGATAAAATCGTGTTTGGCTGTTGATTTTCTGATCTTGTGTTAAACATTTCAGTGTACAGTTCAGAAAAAAACTAATTTATGAAGCAGTCACTCAGTTTTAAACATTTTATTAACAAACATTAACATTTTATTTTAAACAAAGATTCTCATTAGCGACCCCTGACCCTTTGGAATCATTTGGACCCCTTTGACATTCTTTTGCACTGTTAGGGCCCTTTGGGACCTTTGAAACTCTTGGAGATGCTTTGGAAACATTTGGGACTCTTCAAAACGAACCCTTAGACACCTTTTGGAGCTCTTAAGGACCCTTCGGGGCCTTCCGGGGCCCTGCACCTGATAGTCTTCTGATCTGTACCTTTCTTCGGTGCCTTTGTGTTCAGAACGACGTGAAGATGCAGGAGATCATCAGGCACGCTCACCTGTTCCTGCAGAAGTTCTGCACGGGGAACCAGGAGAACCAGGCTCTGCTGCACAAGAACCTGGCCCTGTTCCTGAACCCTGGGGTACGCTGCTGGTTGGTCATTAGACGGGACCTTCGGGTCAGAGAGGGGCAGGTTTTGACCTTGTTTTGACCTTTGTTCTCGTCCTGCAGCTGCTGGAGGCGGAGACGGTGCAGCACATCTTCTGCAACAACTACCAGCTGTGCAGCGAGATCTCCGAGAGCGTCCTGCAGCACTTCATCCACTGCCTGGCCACGCACGGGCGCCACGTCCAGTACCTCAACTTCCTGCACACCATCATCAAGGCCGAGGGCAAGTACGTGAAGAAGTGCCAGGACATGATCATGACGGAGGTGAGGACGAGGCCAGGTGCTCCACGTCCACATGAGTCTCCGTTTGATGATGTCATCACTCTGTTCTGTGTTTCCTCGCAGTTGACGAACGCCGGTGAGGACGTAGTTGTCTTTTACAACGATAAAACTTCTTTCAACGTCATGTTGGAGCTGATGGCCGAGAGCAGGGAGGGAGTTGGAGAGAACAGCCCGCTCAGGTAACCATGGCAACCGTATGAGTCAATCAGAGCAGAAACACGAACCAATAAATTAGCAAAAGTTTACCTTTTCTTGTGGAAAACGTTACATTGTCAAAGATAAAACAAAAGCTAAAAATAAAACCGTATTCAAAGCTAACTTTAGCAAACCCAGCTAAAAGCTAAAACGAGCAAAATGTCGGCTAGCTGTGGAGCTGTGCAGTGGCAGCTCACCAACCAGAACTTTGTCTCGACCCAAAGCGACGTCTTCTCTCTGCAGGTACCACATCTCTCTGGTGGAGCTGCTGGCTGCCTGCGCCGAGGGGAAGAACGTCTACACGGAGATCAAATGCACGTCTCTGCTGCCGCTGGAGGACGTGGTCCGAGTGGTGACGCACGAGGACTGCATCACAGAGGTTCCTGCGTCTCGGAGCAGCCGCGCTCGGGCCGAAGCTCCGGCGACGAGAACTAACACGCCTGTTTGTGTCGGCAGGTGAAGGTCGCCTACGTGAACTTCGTGAACCACTGCTACGTGGACACAGAGGTGGAGATGAAGGAAATCTACACGTCCAACCACATCTGGAAGCTGTTCGAGGACTTCACCGTGGACATGGCTCGGGTCCGAACAGAGCTGTCTCGGTGATTCTGACCCGTGGTTCGTGTCCGGCCTCCTCTGACACCTTTCTTCTTCTGCAGGTTTGTAATAAACGAGAGAAGCGACTCACCGATCCGACCCTGGAGAAGTACATCATCAACGTGGTGTTTGACACCGTCAACGCCTTCTTCAGCTCTCCTTTCTCTGAGAACAGCACGTCTCTGCAGGTGAGGACACGCCCACGTTTGATCGCCAGGCCCGGGTTGTTCTTTTTGTTTACGTGTCTGTTTCTCCTGGTGTCAGACCCATCACACCATCGTGACGCAGCTCCTCCAGTCTTCCGTCAGACTCTTGGACTGTCCCTGGCTGCAGACGCAGCACAGAGGACAGGTGGAGGTCTGCATCAAGACGCTCGCTATGACAGGTAGGACAACACTGGCTCCGCCCACCTGCTACCTCGTCACAGCACGACCCTCAGATCTGTTGACCTCAATCCTGATGGATGTTTGACGGAAACAGAAACAGTTGGATTATTTTGTGCATTTTATTTAGCAGGGAGGTAGCTGAAAGGAGCAGAGCAGTAGCTGAAAGGAGCAGAGCGGTAGCTGAAAGGAGGTAGCTGAAAGGAGCAGAGAGGTAGCTGAAAGGAGGTAGCTGAAAGGAGCAGAGAGGTAGCTGAAAGGAGCAGAGCGGTAGCTGAAAGGAGGTAGCTGAA